AGTGAGCGTGAAAATTTTTGTCGTGAACGTGAGTGAGCGTGAATGAAAATTGTCCAATTTACCGACACTAGTACAGACAAGTCGTGAAAACTTTTGGAAATGCAATTAAAAAATAGTATAGAAGAAGAAGTAATGTATACTTCAATTGTAAACTTTAATTGAGAAATAGGTCTCAAAAGCACAGAATTTCTTCTAAATTTGAATCTTTTTCACCTCAACATAAAGAGAGTATTTTTATTTCGCTATTAATTTATTGGGCGAATCTATTAAACTCAATTAAATTAATGTACCTAGACACTAAATTAAAACACGACAGAATAAAATAGGGGATATTATTAATATGATGTGGTTATTGAATCACTAAGGTGGCTTAAAAATATGGATTTTAGAGTACACCTATGTGACATATGAATAGTGTATATGATAAATTGCAACACAAGTGTTATATTCTGGGTGTACTGACAAGTGAGGTGTATTTTTTGCCTGCTTATACACGAAATGTTTTGCACAATCTATAATGATGCGATCAAAATTGAATGATGGTAAAACTTGTAATTATTAATGATGGTCGCAATAATAAGTAGACAATTGAATTATAGTGAATTAAAATGTGATTAAAAATGAAACACTGATTGTTTGTCACATGTTTGAAGAGGTCTATGGTTTGTGTGTTAATCGCATATTAGTGTCAATCCTTTGAAACCGTATTAATAGATGTATTAATAGGTGTAATGAACTGTAGGTCGCGATTGTGATGGAGAGGGAGTGCGTGAGTGAGTGAGTTTAGTGAGTGGATGTGTGACAGTGTGTGGATGTGTGAGATGTGTCAATACAACACTAGTGTGTGATATACTGACGCTATGCTAAGCGATAATCTAATCCGTGTCTCACATGTGAATCATTGATCGCAATAATGATTAAACTCTCCATTATTTTCATTACATTTGATTCACATTTTACTTAACATTCAATTGAATTGTATTTATAATTGCATTACAAGTGATCACAGAATCAGTCAATACAAGTGTGATATCAATGTATTAATACATTTTGATCTCAATTCTCATCACTACTACTACTAGTCCTCTAATATTGTGATCCACTCTTCAGTCAGTCATCCCTTCAAACACACCATTCAGTCATTCAGTCATACATTCACTCAATTGTAGTCATAATAACTTCATATCAATCGGTAATTGTCTTTAAATGTCATTTTAATGTCTAATTATTATTCACTGTTTGTATTGTTTCGCCGATTTGTACGCAATGTTACTCTTATTGCTTGTATTGAATGCAATGTTATGTTTATTTTGTATGTATTTTGAATGATATGTCAAAACGACGAGTGATTTTGATTGCAGTTATGAATGGGTTTGCAATGAAGTGATGGTTATTTCGGCCGATATATTGACGATTTGGTCAACAATTTAATAGTTGTTTAAAAATGATTTATACGTAAAATAAATTGTAAAGTATTTGTTTTTGTTGAATGAAGTAATCATTTGATGCAAAATATGGTCCAATAATTGAGTTCTTGAAGTGTTTGATAGGTATTGAGAGAAAGAGAGAAAAGTCTTCCGGTTTTCTGGGAGAGAGGGCTGGAGAGGGAGAGAGAGAAAGGTATACGTGTTGTGAGAGAGAGAGAAAGTCCTGCAAGTCTTCCGTATTTTCGACTCAAATCCTAATTGCTTTCAGAGAGAGAGAGAGAGAGAGAGAGAGAGAGAGAGAGAGTGGTAGTGATGTGATGTACATTGAAAGTAGGAATGGTATGAAATGGTGTGATGTCGTGCCCACAAGGGATGCATAAAATGCAATCTTAACCTCAAAAGAAAGGCCCAAAAAATATGTATAATTCCTGTTATTTCGTGAGCGCACACAGGAGTCGACCCACTCTTACCTTCTCTTTCACTTACACTTACTTTTACTTTCAGCTAAAACTTTGTTTGCGGCCAATAATACTCTATTGAATATGTGTTACACTTTTTAGTCTAGTTTCAGATTGTGGTCCGTCCGGTGCTCTGATCTCTCCACCACTTCTCTCTCGCTATCACTCTCTCGTGTATTTTCTCCCTCTTTATCTTTCACTCTCTATTCTCTATCTATTTCTCAATGTTTTCCAGGCTTTCAGTCAATTAATACCCGAAAAAAGAAGAAAAAATGTGAAAATAATTATTCAATTATTTAATAATTGGATTTGAAGTCAACTCTGAACCTAACCTCAAAAATTTGTTTTCACTTTTTTCGCATTCAGTTTTGTGTCTTTTGTTGGCATCGCTTCTGATTTCTAATGACTTGAAAAGTTTTGATAACTTTTTAATTGTCTGATGTGTTTGTGTTGTAAACTCAGACGTGAATACTATTTGTGTTTTGTTGCGTTAATTTAAGTTATGGTTAACTTTTATTTTTGTAATATAATTTTAATTTAAACTAAAATCAACGTATGATTACATCAAATGAATCGATGAATTCATTCAAATGTGTTATTAAAGGAGATTCTTGGAGGCAATCGTTTAGTACAAAAGCATCCGTTCCTCAAACAAACAGCTCAGCAATGGATACAAATGAAAATGAGTCCCAAATCGCAAACTTCTATAAGGATCGAAGTGTTTTCATTACAGGCGCCACTGGTTTTATGGGAAAAGTTAGTCCATTTCATCCACTAATTGCTATCTTTTACAATATATTTAAATTAAGATCAAAACAATTGTATCCAAAACAAGCCCTTCGAGCTTATACTAACTGTAATCTACTTACTTTGTATAGTAAAAGCTACTGATAATAGTTGTTTGGATGCTATTAGTGTTGATCTTAATTTTATAAATTGTTATTAAAAAGCTTTTGAGATTAACAAATGTATTGGTTTTGTAATCTAAATCCTAAGGTCTTAGTGGAGAAACTGTTGCGTTCGTGCAGTGATGTCAAGAATATCTATGTTTTGCTCCGGACTAAGAAGGGTCTGAACGCCCGCTCACGTCTCGACGAACTTCTTAACACTAAAGTATATTAATGTCATAAATATTATTACTTTTATTATGTAACATAAACTCGTTTTTTCTAGACTTATTTTCATAATTTTTGTTTTATTCATATTTTGTTTGCTTTTCAAATGTTTAATTTAAATGTTTATAAACTTTTCCCAAAATATTTTGTTTCCCAAACGTTAGATATTTGAGAAGATTCGTGAGGAGAACCCGAAGGCACTAAATAAGATCGTTGCCATTCAGGGAGACATAACACTAAACAGTTTGGGAATATCGGAGAGTGACTTGAATTTGCTAACAAGTGATGTCTCGATTGTGTTTCATTCGGCAGCGACTGTCAAGTTTGACGAACCCTTGAAGTGAGTGCAACCCATACCCCATATCCCAGATTTGACTTAAAATCTAACACATTTGCGATCATAAACATACAAATTAATTTATTCATCACATTTAAACAGAACTTCTGTCGAGTTCAACGTAATCGGGACCCGACGACTGGTCGAGATATGTCATAAAATGCCTAAATTAGTGGTAAATTATATTATATTTGTCTCTCTTTTTAGAAATGTTTATTAGATTTAAAGGCAAATAATAACAAATAAAAAATAACAAGTGTTTAATCAATAGTTAGTAACAAAAGAGTAATAAAAAAGTTATTCAAAGCATTTACAGGAAATAACGAAAATTTTCTACTGAACTCTTGACAAGCATTTTAATTGCTTTGAAATGCGATAAGTGTTATGAAACACAAAGCATTGAGATTTGATTTTATTTATCCCAAAAATCCCTAATCTCTCACTTAATTGAAACAAAATATAGATTACTTATTCATATTAAGATGACATATAATGATAATTATTTTTTGCTTCAAAATTAAAGTCAAACATAAACACTGAATTAAATACATAGAAGACTAATGCAGACAACAATAGAGTAATTAAAACGAAATGAATTGTTTTTTGAAAGGCTTTAATCCACGTGTCGACGGCTTACGCCAACTGTAACCGAACCGAAATCGATGAACTCCTATATTCGCCGCCCGTTTCGCCGCAAAGGATTGTGGACGCCGTCGAGTGGATGAACGACGACGCGATCAACTCATTGACGCCCAAACTATTGGGCGATCGGCCCAACACTTACACCTATACGAAAGCGTTGGCCGAATCACTACTGGTGGACGAGTGCGGCAGTTTGCCCGTAGCTATAGTTCGGCCCTCCATTGTGACCGCCTCCTGGAGAGAGCCATTGCGCGGTTGGGTCGACAATATCAATGGTCCGACGGGTCTAATACTGGCGAGTGGTAAAGGGGTTCTGCGGACAATGCTCTTCAATTCGAAAGCCGGCGCTGACTTAATACCGGTGGACACTGTAATCAATCTAATGATATCAGTCGCCTGGTATACGGCCACACAACAGCCCAACAGTATTATGGTTTACAATTGCACTTCAGGTCAACACAATCGCATCACTTGGGGTGACATCGAAAGGATCGCCTTTCCATTACTCCTGCATTACCCGAGCGCTGAGATATTCCGATATCCGGGCGGAAACTTCAAAGAGAATCGTCTGTTTAACGACGTCTGCTGTTTCTTTGATCACACAATACCCGCCTATTTCTTCGACGCTCTGATGGCACTCACCGGACGCAAGAGAATGTATGTTCACATGGATTAACATTTGAAACCATGTATTAAACTGTTTACTAACGCTTGTTATATGTGATAGTATGGTGAGAGTATACGAGAAGCTTCATCGGGCAACTGCTGCGCTCGAATGGTTCACCACTCGTGAGTGGAAGTTCAGTGCAAACAATGTACTTATGCTTATCGATCAGCTAAAGGGCGCGGACAAAGAGGTGATGCAATTGTCCATTAATTTAACCATTGGTTTGCTAACAGAATATTGTTTGTTCGGCGCAGACATTCCACTTCGATATCCGAGACCTTCATTGGCCGACTTATTGGGAGGACTATGTGTTGGGTTCCCGTAAATACATACTTAAAGAAGAGAACTCTTCTCTGCCCAAAGCCAGGAGTAATCTACGGCGGTATGTATTGACTGAGTTATTGTAATGAAATGGTTGACTAAAATGGTTTGTTTTAGGATGTATTTGATGCACAAATTGATTGGATTCTTAATAATGTACGGCATTTGGCACCGATTCCTTCTACGCACACACGCGGCCCGACGTCTGTGGCTGTTGTTGAGCTCATTAATGATGAAACTGTTTAGTATTTTGCCCGCAATCGCCAACACATAAGAATTGATTTACAATTTTTTAAACCGAAAGTCAATTTAAATGAATTAGAAGTCATTTTTTGAATAATAAGTTTTAAGATTGGTATTAATTATTGAATTTTATTGAATTCATTATACAATCACTAACTGGTCTGCCATTAATTGCATACAATTTTTCTTTCTTTATTCTCTCTCTATTTAATTGTTTAACTCATTTGCTATATATTTGGGAAACAATTTTTGCGACAATTTTAAAAACCATAAAAACAAAACAAAACGAACACATTATTGACTGAATTATAATAAGATTCTAAAATCTATGCATGTTTTACATCTAATGTATCTCTAATTGTATGTGATTTTAGTTTAGTTTAATATACGGATTAATTTTGTGTTAATTATTATCGAAATAATCGTGTAATTTATAAATGAAACGCTATATGTATTAATAGAAGGTATTTCTCTCCGAACAAAACTAAAAACAAATACAAATTCATTGGTGTTTTAATTTTAAATATAAATACAAACAGATTTTATTTAAGATATGTTTTTTAGTTTTAACAAAAGAAATGTTTTTATTTGAATTTTTTCGTTCACAAACTCGATGAGCAAATCATATGAGATTTTTTTGTTTAGATTTTATTAATTTTAGTTGTAATATAAGTGCAGATAATTTAATGTTTATTTAATACATATATTCTGTTAAGTATTGATTATTGATTACTGCTCTCATATTAATTGCCATTAAATCAATTTATAAGTATTTTTCTTATGTTATCAAAACATTTGAATATTTGTTAAGTGCAGTGATTTAAACTGAATTTATTTAAAAATAAAAACTATTAATGAAAATAATGGAGAGTTTAATCATTATTGCGATCAATGATTCACATGTGAGACACGGATTAGATTATCGCTTAGCATAGCGTCAGTATATCACACACTAGTGTTGTATTGACACATCTCACACACTGTCACACATCCACTCACTCTCGCACTCCCTCTCCATCACAATCGCGACCTACAGTTCATTACACCTATTAATACATCTATTAATACGGTTTCAAAGGATTGACACTAATATGCGATTAACACACAAACCATAGACCCCTCCAAACATGTGACAAACAATCAGTGTTTCATTTTTAATCACATTTTAATTCAATTTAATTCAATTGTCTGCTTATTATTGCGAACATCATTAATAATTACAAATTTTAGCCTAATACAATTTTTAATCGGATCATTATAGATTGTGCAAAACATTTACGTTAGTGTATAAGCAGGCAAAAAATACACCTCACTTGTCAGTACATCCAGAATATAACACTTGTTGTAATTTATAATATACACTATTCATATGTCACATACTGTATAGTGTACTCTACAGCCCGAATATTATATCGCAATATAAAGCTAAAGGCAGGAGGATTAGAAGTGGATTAGTGCAGCATAAAACAATGCAATTTTTTTCGCACCTAGTTCACAAAAAGGGTTGCATTTGCCATCAATGTGCGAAAAAATGCACTGCTCTATGCTATGATAATTAACACTACTAATCCTCCTGCCTTTAGCTTTATATTGAGATATAATACTCTGAGTGTAATATAAAACCATATTTTAAAGCCACCTTAGTGATTCAATAACCACATCATATTAATAAATATTCCCTATTGTATTCTACCGTGTTCTAATTTAGTGTCTAGGTACAGTAATTTAATGGAGTTTAATAGATTTGCCCAATAAATTAATAGCGAAATAAAAATACTCTCTTTATGTTGAGATGAGAAGTATTCAAATTTAGAATAAATTCTGTGCTTTTAAGACCTATTTCTCAATTAAAGTTAAAGTTTACTATTGAAATATACATTACTTCTTCTTTTATACTATTTTTTAATTGCATTTCCAAAAGTTTTCACGACTTGTCTGTACTTATGATTAAATAGTTTTAACAATTTGTTTACTAAAACTTTTATTCATTGCAATCAAAATTCAATTTTTGATTGATTTATTCAATGCTTAGATTTGTATCATTTAATCCACTCATTAATAAATTGATACTCAAATAATTTGTTGAATATTTCATAAAATACGGTAATTAGATAATAATTAACTACTAATTAATTTAATTGAATATAATTTTTATTAAAGCACCTAGTGCTTCTATAGGAATAAGCTATAAATAAGTTATATACTAAATAACTATTAAAACATGACAGAATTAATATTAACTCATGATATATAGCAACTCATGATTGAATTAAATGTTTTAAAGCATTAAAACTTAAAGTTTGAAACATTAAAATTTTAATTAATGTGAATAAAATGAAAATATAAATACTTTAAAACAAATTAATTGTTAAATTCATCTTTTAATAAGCAATTTCTAACACATCGTTCAACACATCCATAAATTTCATGTGTAATTAAATGTATTCTCAATTAAAATTAATTAAAAATCAATTTAAAAGTTACATGACTTAAATCAATCAAATTGGTTATAAAATAAAAGTTAATAGTTATAAAGCAGTAAAATCGTGGTCACAATTAAACAACTTTATTAAACTAATTAAAAGCGTTAAACGATATATAAATTAATCAAAAAATAAAGATTACTTACAGAGAAGAAGCAATTTGTGGAAAAAAGTACAATTAAACAAAACTCTATCTCATTTTCTACACCAATTCAATACAACACTACTCTTGTCAGCAAAAGTGGAGTGAATGAGAGAGAGAATCGATTGGAGAGAGAAAAATAAAAGTTGGGATAAAATAACTGTAAATCTGTTTCAATGCATACAAAACGAGTGGAGAGAGAGAGAGAGAGAGAGA